GCGAAAATTCACTTTCCAACAGATAGCCAAAATACTTTGGGATCTCGAAAAATCATGAATTCTCTCTCTGAACTTTCCACGTTTTTCTCCATCAAAGGGCCACTAACAGCTGATACATGTAGGCAGATCGGCTCAATGCTTCTGCATTTTTTTCCATGATTAAATGCACCAAATATTAAATATGAGGACTTCCTTGAAAGCATACAATCTTCGATTTAGACAGGCAAGTAACACAACTTGTAGCAAGTTAGTCTTCTGGAGAGAGTTGTCCATTTCAACACCAAGCAACCCAAAGCATTCTTGTCAGAATACACAATGGGGTTAAAGTGACCATAAACAGAAGACCTTGCGAAAACAATAATAAACACCTACAAAAATGGTTCAGTATATTTATAAAACTGAATGAAGTCCTGAATTACTTTCTCATTTAATGAGTGAATTTAGACAACTCCATTTGTGAGCCTGACACATTTTTATACACTGTACAGCAGTGCCCTCTGTTGAATCAAAGACTAAAAAATATTCCCCTAGCCAAGTAAGTAATTTGCAACCAGTCAAGAAACAGATCTATATGGACAGAGCAATGGGTGAGGGTTTTTTCAAATGGTTGCATAACTGGATTTAAACCCATTTAGATAAAATAAGCAGGTACATTCTTCAGCATATGAAGCAAACAACATATGAGTATTTGGACTGAAAATGTCAACCAGAAAGCAACCTTCACAGTTGTACAAAAAATGTGAATTATGCCAGATAACCAGGGAGTTGGACTTGATGGCCTTATACAGTAGTATCTCTGTTTACGAATGCCTCAGTTAACGTAATTTTCGGTTTACGAATGGAAATCCATTGAAAATAATGCCTTGGTTTATGATTTTTTTTCCCCACAGTACAAAAGAAGTTTCTCCAGGATGCATTGTCCCTGGCGGTTTATAGCACTGCCCCCATTCCTATGGCAATCCACATTTCAGATTACATAGTTTTCACATTATGTAACGTCCCAGAGAATGCATTAAATTTGTAAACCGAGGTACTACTGCAGTCCCCTTCCAACTCCATTAGTCTATTATTCCACTCTATGAGCTAGAGAACTACTACACCCAGAATTCACTCCTCATTCATTATCCATGCCCTCTTCCCATATACAAAATGGAAAATAATTCTGCATGTAATGTCTTTTGCTATGCACAATTCACGGGGTTCTACAGAATGCATGTCTGGTATCTACACCTGTTTAAATAGTCTTCTACACTTCTCTATACACTCTGAGGGCAAGGAGATTAGTTCCACTTTCCTTTCTTCTCCCCTATCAAACATACATCCCTGTCAGCTTAACACAAATTTCGGACCATGTCACCCTCCAGAAGCCGATAGACTACAAACTGTATCGGCTCCTGTTGACATAGCTAATGGAGTACAGTGGGGACTTGAGAACTTAATCCGTATTGGAAGGCAATTCTCAAGTCAAAAAGTCTGTAGGTCAAGTCTCCATTGACCTACAGTGCACTGAAAACCGATTAATCCCATAATGGGCTGCTTTTGTTCCATTTTGGTTTTTTTCTGGTCTGTAAGTCAATTCTCAGGCTGCAAGTCAAACCTAAATTTTGCGGCCAGAGAAGTCTGTAACTCAAAAAGTCTGTAAGTCAAGCCGTCTGTAAGTCAAGGGTTCACTGTAAAATGACAAGTCTCCATTGACCTACAGTGCACTGAAAACCGATTAATCCCATAATGGGCTGCTTTTGTTCCATTTTGGTTTTTTTCTGGTCTGTAAGTCAATTCTCAGGCTGCAAGTCAAACCTAAATTTTGCGGCCAGAGAAGTCTGTAACTCAAAAAGTCTGTAAGTCAAGCCGTCTGTAAGTCAAGGGTTCACTGTAAAATGATGAGAGTTGTGTAAGTCAAGCCGCCTGTAAGTCAAGGGTTCACTGTAAAATGGTGAGAGTTGTCTCATATGGAGGCCCACACATTTGCCATCTCTGGAGGAATCGGTCCTATTTCACTTACTATGGAGTTACATTCCCCAAGCTGTACTTCATTTACCTGTAGGGAGACCTGAGTGTCATGCCCCAGATATTCCAGAGTTGCCTGGACATAAAGAGTCAGATCTGCTATTAAAGAGGCAGCCAGGCATGAAACTCTGGGGATAGCCCAAAGTTACCCCACCATATTTACGATGCACAGACCCAGTCCCAGCACTAAGGCAGATCACTTCCTTGCAGGAGCTCCACAGTCCCAGGAACTGTTATGCCAATGCCGATAAGTGTATCCTGAAGAAGGAAGAGGGGGCGGTCTTTTTCAATATTCTTACTTAGTGGAGACACAGAAAGAGTAATCCTGAGCCAGAGGTGTTCAGCGGCCTCGACTGAGCTCTGCTGCAAGAAGCTCATAGGGAGCTGTCTTTGGTGCTGCACATTTTGCCTGCCTTGCTGATCCCTATGTCTCCAGATGGGTCCTGACAACCAGGGAACAAGAAGGAGTCGACACAGGAAGGGTCCACTTAAGGAGCTCCTGTTCTCCATAAAGGCAAATTGCTATCATGGCTAAAGACTTTGCTTCACTGATGCTTCTCCTATGCCTTCAGAGGTCCCCAACCTTGGGCCTCCAGATGTTCCTGGACCTCAACTCCCAGAAGCCTTCACCACCACTTCTGGTGGCTAGGATTTCTTGGAGTTGAAGTCTAAGAACATCTGGAGGCCCAAGGTTGGGGAGCACTGCGAACTGCACTAAGCTCCTCTGTTCCCCACCCATAGAAAAGAAGGCAATTAACAAAACTTTCAGCTGCACATGCTCTCATAACAACTACAACTTTTTCTGTAAATGTATTTCTCTACAAGGCAGGTAAGTGAATGACTTCTTGACCATTAAGTTATGGGTGCAAGCATTAAAAGCACAGAACAGTAGAGTGCATAATTAACAAACAGAGCATAATAAGGAATCAAATAGTTTGAGAGGAAGAGAGAATAAAGAAAGGGCAGAGAGATTTAATTGCCTCTGTCAAACTGTGTTTCTCCAACTCAAGGGTCAGAAGAGCAGGAATTCAAGTACATCTAATTAAAATTAGCTGAAGGCAGACTGAGGAAAGGAGCACAAGCAAACAGCGCGCATTTCCAACATATGCAAAAAGCAATTCCAACCGAAGGTGTCAACCAAAGTTATTTTAACAAGATGAATAGCTTCTGCAAAAGACAGACTAGAAGACACAAATTCAAAAATGGAACAGTGAAGTGTGGCGTGAGACACTAAAGACAATAAATTCTACTTCATCCAGGACTTGTGTGCTGGTACAATTTCTAAACTGATTGAGCAGGATCATGAAAAGAACCAACATATGAAGGAGGATGTTTCGTTCATCTCCGAAACAATGAACTGAAGTTACCTAAAATAAAAAAAAACTATATTCCTCACACCATAGATTATTTTGACATCTCTCTTAAATTGGATAAAGTGTGCTTTTGATTTAACTACAGTTTAGTCTCTTAAATATACTTATCTACTTGCTACACTACATAGATTAAC